TCATGGGCTGCCAGATCCCAGGCTTCTTTTGGGGGTGAGAACGTTCTGGGTAGAACGGTGGAGGCTCCTAGTGAGATGCACAGGGCAAGAGCATCCACGGGCTTCATACTGGGCTGCAGGGCTCTGATGATAGGATGCTCGCCCTTGAGCATTTATTAAAGCAACTTCTCTCAGCCTTATTAGTGCCCTGAGAGCTAAAAAGAGACGCTATTGCCTGCCTTATTGCTTTAGGAGTCTGAGACAGAGAGTTTACACAACTTGCTGAGGACTTAGAGCAAAGTCAGTGGAAGGCTAGAGGATTCTGTCTGGTGGGTTTGGGTTGCTCTGTGTCATGGACTGCTAATTCCTTAACGGCCGAGGTGGGAGAGCGTGCCCACACTCTCAGGCCCGCTCATTCATCGTGTGCCCAGAACCCAGCTGAACGCTTGCTGGGAGGCACCGAAAACTCCATGGGGTGTGAGGGGAGCTGCTAGGACTCTGGCACCACAGCAGTGCCCACCAGGCAGAGCTTCACTGCTTGCCTCTGATGTCTGCCCCACAAAAGCTGGAAACTTCAGTCAAGGGGCTCCAGGGGAAAATGGGGCAGTCTGTGGTTGAAATAAGTGAAAAACTGAAGCAGATGCAATCATGTCTGCCGAACCCCTTCTTTCCTCCCCCTCCACATCTTAAAAACAAGCCGTGCATCTGCTCAGTGCTTTCCAACTTACCAAGTGTTTTCATAACATTATCTCATTTCATCCTCACATCAACCCACACACATTCTTGCCTTTCAGATTTCTTATATACTCAAATGAATTTCACTGAAAAATTGGCTAGAAACTCCCTTTCTCCCACTCACTTTTTTTTTTTTTTTTAACCCCAAGCCTTTGACTGATAGTTTGAGAAATTCCTAGATTCCCAGGGTGGGAAATTTTATTCTGCCAGCCCTACTACCCCACTGGATGGTCACAAAGTAGTCCTGATCTTTGCTATTGGAATCAACACCTGTGTATTCAGTTTATAGATTAGCTGTTAAAACAAACAAAGCCACAGAGGGGAGGATAAATGTCGCATTGTGGGGAAAATATAGGCTTTAGAACCAACAAGCCCCAGAGTCAAATTTTAGTTGAGCCATTTGAGAGTCACGTTACTTAACCTCTCAGAACCTCTTTTTCCAGCTCTAAAATGGGGCAATAGTGCCTCTGTCTTAAAGTTGTTTGTGAGGCATAAGTGTTCTAACAGATGTGAATGTATCTCAACAAACTTACTTTGTGAAGTCCCTTCTAGCTGACCCAAGAACCAGCTTCACCACTACTAGGCAAATTGCGAGCAATACTGCCTTTTTGCAAAGGCAGAAGGGACATAAAGTGTGGGAATATGTTGCTAAATGAATGTGGATGGAGACTTTTTTACTCAATGAGTAATTAGAGACGTGTCCTGCATACATGGCATAGTGGTGTCTGAGATATAAAGCTCAGTACCTTTATTCTTTTTTTTAACTCTTATTTTAGGTGAGAGTGAGAAGGAGCTGGGAAACTGGATTTATGTAATGTTGGAAAGCATTACAACTTGGATTTTTCAAGTTGTAAAGTTCTCATTACACTTGGATTTTTATCGAAGCAGAATTGCAATTCAACTTTCTAGTTCCTGGGGACAAAGGTAGGAGAAGGGACTACGGAAACGTATTTAGTTCCCTGGTCTGCACATAGTAAATGCTCAATAAATGGTGGTGGTGGACTCAGGGGGTTTCAAGAGACCGGGTCGTGTGTTTGACTTCTGTTGCTGACTTCCTGGCAAGTGCAATGCAAGGCGTGGGGTTGTCGTGGAAAGAACATTTGACCAGCAGTTTGAAGGCCTGCGTTCAGGTTCCATCAATACCACTTAATAGCCTGGCGACCTTGAACATGCCACTTAATCTTCGATGTCTTCTCACCTGTAAAATGAGGAGACTGGACTCGGTGATTTGGAAAGTCTCTTTCAGCTCTAAGTTTCTGCAGCTCAGTGCAACTTCATTCGTTTGTGTTTCTGTTTCTTCATTTATTCAAAGAAAGCAGAGATAGAAACCTATCTCATGGGGTATCGGGAAGAAATGGTCAGTCTGCAGGTTAAAATAACCTGTGTCTTTAGAGAGATGAAGGAAACACAGTGCCCCACAGCAATGTAGTAGAGTGGCGGTATGATCCTTGGAAACCCCCTTCATTTATTTCAGCTTCTGTTGGCATATTTGTAAAGTTGTGCTATGGTAATCTTTCTACATTCTTTTGAAAGTTGAGATCATGGAAATGTTTTGAAAACCTGCCAGGTGCTATAGAGAGTATTCGGATTGAGAAATGTTATATTTGTTATAGTTGTATAAAAGTTTAGCCCTATGCTTCCCATGTTTTCAAATGAATGAATGTGTCATGGGGACCCAGAGGGGAAACAGAAACTATAGATTTGGGGTCCCAACTCAAGGCTTACTTTCAACTGCATCCTACTGACGGAGGTGAAATTTAGCTAAAATTGGCATTAATACAAATTTTCCCCAAGAGGAGCATAAGATAATTACCTCAGTGTTCTCCAACGTAGGAAATTTTTCCAGAGGCCCGATAGGCCAGATATCTGCTGATGGAGGCCTTACTTCCCATCCTCTTCTCAAAAATGAGGCCATTTTGACACTAAGGGGTGTGTGTGTGTGGGTAGCTTTCTGAGTTTTGAAAGTTTCACAAAGCAATAATCACAAAGATGTAATGCACGGCTGTTGGTGTAAAAGTGGTGAGACAGTCTTTCATGCCAGGCCTTGCCACGGGTTGCTACTGGGGAGAGATGGCAGAAGGCATCAGTTCTGCTCACCCAGGCTCTAGCTCAGGCATTCTCCTCTAAGTGCCCCAGAAAGTCCAGCCTGGAAACCAGTTCTCCAAGCACTGGCTTCTCCTTTGGTGGAGTAGATGACATGTCACACCCACCCTTTGAGAAGCTTCCCCACCCTACACCCAAGGCACAAACAGAGTCCCCTGGCGGCAGTAACCTCACACCTGGAATCCCCACCCCACCATGGCACCTGTCCACAGAAGCATCATCGCCCTCCATCAGGACAGTACCTCCAGAGGAGCAGAATGGAGGTGGTACTTAGAAGCACAAATCAATTTCTGATTTATCTTGTGGGGAGGGAGTGGAGATGGGGGTGACGAGAAGCTCCTGAATTTCTCTGGTTGGAGGGAGCAACTAGGGGGCTGATCTTTTTTATTTTATTTTATTTTATTTTATTTTTTGGCTGCGTTGGGTCTTTGTTGCTGCACTCAGGCTTTTTCTAGCTGTGGCGAGTGGGGGCTACTCTTCGTTGTGGTGCGCGGGCTTCTCATTGCGGTAGCTTCTCTTGTTGCGGAGCACGGGCTCTAGAACTCAGGCTCAGCAGTTGTGGCACACAGGCTTAGCTGCTCCGCGGCATGTGGGATCTTCCCGGATCAGGGCTTGAACCGGTGTCCCCTGCATTGGCAGGTGGATTCTTAACCACTGCGCCACCGGGGAAGTCCCTAGGGGGCTGATCTTGAAGCTGCATTTTCATTGGAAGTTCACTGTTTTTATTCAGGTTGTATATATGAATGACTAAAAATAGCAAAGTTAGTTTTAATTTAATTATTCTTGTCAATTCTTAGCGATTATTTTTATTTGGGTTGGCTTGAGAGGGCTGATCAAATTATGAGTGCCTCCTCATGGCCCTGCCACTGTTAAACCCTCACCATTAATCCTATCCTCCTTTACCTGAGATAAACCTGATGTTTCTACTTTTAAGCGCATATATATGGATTCAATACATTCACTATCTTTCAAAGAGCTGACTTCAGTGCACACTTCATTTTGCCTAGTTTTGGATACCGTCCTCCCCCTGTCACCCCTCCTCCCCCCTCCACACACACATAGACTTCCTCTGTCCCCAGTACACACTTAAGTCAGGGTTATAAAGCCATTTTACAGGAGTCTCTGTGGCAGAGGTGTGAAGCAACGCACTCCAGCCACAGAGGGGCAGACTCCCATCCCTGCTCTGGGGGCTGCGCAGCCTGACCGCACGGAGGGACTCCCGGCGTTGCAATTCCCGGGCAGTGTGGGAGGGGTTCGGCTGAAGCTCTTTGTTTCTTCTTCTTGGAGGAGATCTGGGAGCCAAGGCTGGTGGGATGTGCTTGTGCGGCGTCCTCCAGCACCCCCGTTCCCCCGCCACGGCTCGGGTGTGTATGTGTCCAATGGAAAAACCCTACGACGACACCACATCCTTTCGCGCACCCTCCACGGCTCTCAGGGCTGCAGACCAGTCCCTTGCAAGCTAACGTGACCGCCGCGGGCACTCGGTCCCGCAGCTCCGCGTCCCCTCCCACCTTCCCACTGCCTCTTTTTTAGCTGTGCTCTCATTTGCACGCATCTTCCCAGGGATAGAAGAGACGCGTCTCGGGCGCAGCAATCCAGGTGCCACGGGCGAGGATGTCAGGGGAAGGCCTAGTTTGGGGGATGTACGCTGAAGAGGGATCCCGAGGTGTGGGCCGGGGACGGCGAGTGGGTACAAAAGAGGGCACTGGTTGAGGGATGGCGCCCGCCCCCGCGCCGAGCGGGCACGTCCGGAGCGGGCCCCGGCGCCCTCCTCACACCACGGTCCTCTGCCCCCAAGTACCCCCCCACCCGGCCCCAGAGGTGTGTGCAGGGAGAGGGGCGCGGGGCGCCAACGCCCGCGGGATTGTAGGTCTGAAGTAGCGTTGACATTGAACTCCGGTCCCCTTGCGTGCGTGTGTGTGCGCGCGCGCGTGGCCACGCGCGTGTTTGAGTGTGTGAGTCGTGGGGTGGGGGCCGGGCTAGAAGCTGCAGCAAACCACTGCCCTCGGGGAGCAGAGCCGAGCGCGCCCCCGAGCCGCCGCCAGCGGGAGCTGCGAGCGCCGAAGCCATTCATGATTTTGGTGACGTTATTCCAGGAGTGGGCGAGGGGGGGCGGGGCCTCCCGGAGCCGAGCCCCGCCCCCGCCCCTATAAATACGGCTTCCTGGGCTCTTTGTGGGGCCGCGAGCTCGGTGGAGAGCCGAGAGCTCCGTCTGCTTTGCCGACGCTGCTGGCAGTGGGGCTGTCTCCGGGAGGCGGACCGGCGAACAACCAGTGCCCACACTCGGCAGCCTGCCGCGCCTGTCTGCGCCCGTGACATCCTTACCCGAGACGCAGTGACCGTGTTTAAATCACAAGGGCGTGGGTCAGGCTCCCCTAGGACTTCATGTCTGTATATTTCCCCATTCACTGGTGAGTATCCTGCGCCCTCGGCGGGCATCCGTCTCGCGGCCGTGGCTGCGGGGCCCGGGCGCCTGCTCGTGCCTGCTCTGTGCGAGGGCAGTGGGAGTCAACGTCAAGGTTGCAAAGGTGGGGGTGGGGAGGTGGCGCTGAGAGCATCCAGACAAAGGAAGTGAACTCGAAGCTCTCACTTAAGTTACGGCTGGGAGGGTGTGCGTACGGCCGTAGTGGGGTCGGGGGAGAACCAGGGGTCACGGCTGAACCCGGCTAATAAAAGCCCCTTCGCGGAGGGCTGCGGGAGGCGCGCGCCCTGCCTGGCGTAGGGGCTCCTGCTCTCCCCGGGCCCCTCCCCTTTTCCTTTTTGTTTGCATGCAAGTCTTGGCGTCGAGGCCGGCGGCAGCGGGGCTGAGCTGGTGCAGCGGCGGCTTTTGCAGAGCTCCGAGGGGTGAGGGAAAACGCTCTCCCCACACGTAACCCGACTGAAGCCACAGGCAGCAGCACAGTTCCTCGCTGCACCCTCTCGATCCCTTTTCTCTCCATAGACCCTAAACCCGACGCGCCTTGATGGGGGCCCGGGTTGGGGAGGAGCCGCCCTCACCGGGCCCGCCGGGAAGGAGCCCGGGCCGGGTGGGGGGAGGCGGAGGTTGCACCCGACCGGGTATCGGGGCTGGGAGGGATGCGCCCCGGGCGCCCGCCTCGTTGAAGAGCGAGGCCCACGGCCGCTGGGACTTGCGCACCGTCTGCTGCTTCCTTCCTGCTCTGGGGAAGAGGAAGAGCTGTCGGGGGGCGAGCGCTGGCGGCCTGGAGCTCGCTTCCAGGTGCGGGCGTGGAGAGCCCGGCCCCGCAGGCTCCATGTCCGCGCAGTCCTGCTCAGCTCAGATACCGGAAAGTTCATGCTTCTTGCTTCAACTTTTCGGCCCCGCGCCACAGCCGGGAGCGAGGAGCGAACGCCCGGACACCAGGCTAAGAGCCTGGCGAGAGCCCGGTGGGCGCTCTTCTGGCCCGTTACGTTGCGGGTGGGCAGTAGCCTCTCCGTAACCCAGGGGGAAACTGACTTTGGAGTCCTAGCTCCTGACCCTAAACTTGCCCGGAAGCCTAGCATCTTCTTTTAGTCTCCCCTCCCCCAATCCAGCCCGTCTCTGTTTAGAGAGGAGACTGAACTCTCAAAACAAAGTAAAAATTTCCTCACCCCGGAGGCTTGCGTACCTCTCTCCTCTGAGCTCTCCTTCCCTCCCACCTCCAGGTACCATACGGGTGAGACTTGGAAGGCAGTGGAGGCTGTGTGCCCCTGGCCACTCAAAACTTGCCAAAATGGTGTTCAGACTCATCAGGGTTATTGTCCCCTGAGAGATTAAGGTTTGGTATTATTTTACAGTTGATTGGCATTTCATAGTTTGCAATGCTTTCCCCCCCAGAGATTAGTCCTTTACCATAGCTGTGAGATATGCATTATTAGCATCATGGTAACAGACTAACAGCGCATCTGCAGCTCAGAGAGGTTATACGACCTGTTCAAGATCACACAGCACTTGAGTGGCATAGCTTGGACCAGAACCTATTGCTTCTGTTTCCAACTCCTGTGCCATTTCTACTCTATGTAGTAGCTGTAAAATGAAGAAGAGTTTGGTACCCCTGTTTCCTTAGATACAGTCTTTCTAAGGCCTACCCTACATTTTTTTTTTTTTTTAACCATGTGTAAAGGCATGATGGTGAAAATATTGCCTGTTGGGTAGGGAGTACACTGACTTTGGTATGTGCTATTTGGCATTACACATTCGGGACCCTGTACGTGCCCATGGCTTGTGTGAGGATAATGGAACATTTGTATCCTGCTTACAGAGTACAAAGCACTTTCACATGTCAGCCATTGGTGGGCCAGCTTGGCCCCTCTGGAAATTTCCTTTGCAGTCAGAGTCCGGGCATCCTTAAGGCTTTTAATCCAGGGGATGTTTTTCAAGCTGTGAGCTTGCAGCTGCTGTGGCTGGGGCTAGAGAAGGAGGTTGGATGGCAGATGTGAAGCTTTCAGAAAGCTGACCCTTTGGGGCTTTAAGTGGGACATTTTGCAAAAAGGAACACCAGAGACACAGAGAGAAATTTAGGAAGGCAGCATTATCGAACTTGGTTTCTCTGAGGTTGACCTGTTATCATTATGTAATGATAATATTCAGTTCCCCTAGAGACGGGTTGAATTGGTTTTAATATAGATAGACGGCCTCAGCTACTTACTGTTTTTTTTTTTTTTTCTAGTTCTGTCACTTAAAAGAAAATCCAGAGTCGCTCTGTGCCAGTAGGGACTAGTACAGGAGAGGAGGCAAGAGGAGGTTTGCCAGAGCGGTTTTCAGACAATGAGCTTTGTTGGTGGAGGTTGAGAGCTCTGATGCTCTAGGCTTGTAAGGTGCTTCCTCGGGGCATGAGCTCGTTTTTCAGCGAGTTCTGTTTTGAACACCTCTCATCCTGCTTCCAGGCAGTCCTCTAATTTAACAGCAGAAGGCACTGAGAGTAGGCATGTGAAAGTGCGTGTGTTTGTTGACTTTTGCTCTGGGTTTCTTGGCAGCCCTGACTATCTGAGATCAGCCGAGATGACTGAGGTGATGATGAACACCCCATCCATGGAGGAAATAGGCCTCAGCCCCCGAAAGGATGGCCTTTCCTATCAGGTAAGTTCAGTACTGGCTTCCTTCTGGTTCCTTAGAGCCTAGTGTCTTTTGCTGGGGCTGGAGGCAGACTTGGTTCTGTATCCCAGTGCTGTTTGTAAGAGCTATGCGCCCTTGAGAAAGTCCCCTAATGCCAGTAAGCCTCGGTTTCTTAATCTGTAAAATGGGGCAACAAGAGTCCTTACTTCACAGAATTGTGGTGAGGATTCAACATGATGAGATGACATGGATAAGGCATTCACAGTACCTGGGAGGCAGTAAGCGTTCAGGAAGCATGAGCTGATGTTATTAATTAGTCATCCTGGCTGCTGTGGACTCTCCTCTTCGTGGTGGCAAAGGGGGAAGTGATAATGTGCAGTCAGTTCAGATCAGAACTTCCCTCCCCACCCAAGCCTTGGGCAGTAGCAACATTGCTGTGAGGGGCAGCTTATGGGGAAGGGTAGTCTGGTGGAGGCATTGCTGTGTCAAATGCTGCTTTCTTCCTCTGGTTGATGGTTGACCAACTGATTCCAACAGGGTTAATGTTCAAACTACTTAGAGTTGAAGAGACCTTTCCCAGAAGGGTAGCTGTCTCAGGGATGTTATTGCCAGGAGCCAGCGTAGAGATTATGCTGTGTGGTGGATCCAGAGTATATAAGGACCAAAAAAGTGGTCTAAGTAACACCTTCAGATTCTCAGCCCATTCAGATTCTGGCCTGCCATTCACTTTCCACTGCCCACAGCCCGCTGCAGAGACCTCCAGATAGCGCCGAAGCAGTGAACTGTTTTCAGATTTCCAAGAAGAGTGCCTACGTTATTACCTTCAGGGGAGGAAAGAGTCTGTTCTTAAGGGAAGATCTCGGAGCTAGGGAAATTGTGTAGGATGGCTGGCTGGGGAAGATGAATGAAGTGTGATGGGCTCATTCAGCAGATATTAACTGAATGTGGCTATGGGCCATGCACTTTACAAATGTTACTCATTCACTCTTGACCGTGGGCACTGAGATGGGAATTTTTGTTCTGTTTCACAGATGAGGAAACAGGCTCAGACTGAGTGGATGACTTGAGTCTCGAACTCCAAAACCTTGCTCTTCTGATGTATCATGTGTCTGTGCCTTGAGGTTGGCTCTTGGCTAGAATCTAGACTTGTTCTGCCTTAGAACCATTCCAGGGGCATTTGTTTTGTGAAGGAAGAGAAAATAGAAAGCTGGGTGGGTGTGATGGAGGGAGGGTGATCAAAGAGAGCTGAGATGAAAGCTAAGGTTGGGTAAGGTAATTTGGCAGGTGACAGCAAGAGTCACCTCAGACACACTTGGGAGGTTAGAGAAGGCCCCTTTGTTGTGTGTCAAAATGGCCAAGGCCCTTTTGCTGGCTGGAAATAAGTATTCAGGTAGGCTGAGGGGATTCAGGGGGAGGGGGAAAATACCCTTTCCTGGTTGGTTTTGTACCTTCCACCCTCAGAGTGGGTCTGAGAGAGACAATTGAAAGCCCCACAGCCTGTGGGAGGGTAGAAGTTTCCTGACCTACCAGCTGGGGTGTTTTTGGATACCAGTTTCCAAGCCACTGAATCAGACTGAATCTCTTTGTGGTTACAGGTGAGGTGTTTTTTGGTTTTTTTGTTTTTTCAGTTCTGGGTTTTAGATTTCCATCACAAAACCTTTCCAAACACAGTCATCAGTATGTCTGTGTGTGCTTTTTGATATTCTCCTTTTGAACGTGTTCCAGGATAAAGGACCAGGTCCTACAGGGCAGTTTTCTTGACCTTCAGCTCATTCCGCTGGATCTGAGGGTAAGAACAGGTCATGACCCTAGAAGGGGCTGCAGTGCTGGGTGAGGACAGCTGAATTGGGGCTGCCACGGCAGGAGGAAAATAAAATCACCTCTGGGTTCCTAAGATAACTCAATGCTGCCTAAGAAAAGGGCCCTCAAATCTTCCTTTGTGGTGCTAGACTTAGGGCCCAGTTTTCACAGCCTCTCAGGAAATCTGCCCTGCTACCTGAGTGGGGACTACTGCACAGTTCCAAAATATCTTACCTAGAACTTCAAAGCACTCTGTCACAAGATTTCAGAAAGGTCTTCTGGTTGCCTGGTGAAAAGAAAGGGGAGAGGTGGTGATCGTCAAGCAGGCAGTATTTATTGGACACTTGCTGTACGTAACATGCTATGCTGGGCATTGTAGGAAGGGTCCAGGGCTCACGTGGGAAACTAGCATGTACATAACTGGAACACAGGTCATCTGGTGGAGCAATATGAAGGCTACGGTCAGTCCAGGGATGTGTGGCAATCTAAAGGCTTGGGAGAAGGAGGTCAGACTGGGCTGGGCCTTGAAAGAGGCTTTGAGAGGACACTTCCACCTCTAATTTTGTTGCACCTTCAGATACCCCTTGGCTTGCCCCTGTTTCAGCCAGGCGCAGCGCTGTGCAGCGAACTCATCTGCCAATTGTCATGAGACCGGTATTTTCTGGGCCCACTCAAAGCCAGTGCCATCCAATTAAACACATTCCCACCAGAGCTCTGGGGATTGGCTGGGGCTGCACTTGGCTGGAGCCTGTCCATTGTACATGCTCAGGCTAGGCTTGGCTCTGGGGGCAGGAGATCTTTGAACTCTGTTCTTGGCATTCCTCCTGAGGGTAATAATAGTACATGGCTTTTACTGCGACCTGCTTTTCCAAGGAACTAAAAGTGGGAAGGAGACATCAATCCCAACTTGGCAGTTGAAATAGAATCTCAGACTTGTGGTTTGACCTTGAAACAAGGTCATAAAATAAATAGGCACACTGGAATTTGTCAGTTGTTCCCCCACCTTCCAGGTCTACCCAGAAGGAAGCTTTCCTGATTTCTCTGCCCCAGATGTGATCTCCTTCTTCTCCAGCACCTGTGGCATTTGTGCTTAAACGATGCTGCCGTGGTCCTGCCTGACCTTCTCCCTGCCCGTGTGTCCGAGGGCAGGGGATGACTTATTCCCTCTTTGTGCCCATCAGCCATCACCCCTCTTGCAGCCCTCCCCAACCCAAGGTGCCTGCTGGCCCTGGGCCTTCACAGAGCAGGGGCTAAATGGATGGTGGTGCTTTCAGTTAAATTGAGTCTCTTGGTTCTGAAGCTGCCCACGTTCACTTCTGCCTTAGAATTTTTAAAGGGCCTCCTCAGGGTCAGATAGATGTCTTTTTATCCCCTGAAAGATTCGGGTAAGCCCGTCTCTTGTGCTTAGGGAGTTAGCATGTATAAAAATCCACAGAGCCGGTGCCTTGTTTTGTCTTTAACATTTATTTGGAGAGTCAATTCAGTATGTGCAATGCACGTCAGCTCTCTCACTTGGCATGAATTATGACACCCCGTGGGGTGGGTGAGTGAATGGTTACTAGAAAGTAGAGGACATGTTGGGTGGGATGGGAGTGGCGGCCAGCTCACAGGGCTGAGTGGGAGGGTCTCCATGTGGACATTTCTGCCCCTGCTGGCTGCAGCTCGCTTCCCACACTGCATCTGTCAGCCTCCTGTTCTCTGGCCCCTGGGACGGGAACGTCTGCGCCTAATGCCTTCTTCCTTTCCCTAATTCAGGGGAGCAGGTCAGTGGCTGCCTTGCAGGCTCCCGCATCCCAGCTCTAGGGACTCTAAGAATGTGGCAATTCAGAATGCCTCTCTGACTGGGTCTCCTTCCGTGCTGGGCCTGAGTTGGCCTGGAGAAGGGACCTGGGCATTTGCCTGTGGACACTGATGCTGCCACCACAAGGGCTGTGCTGCCTAGCTTCCCCCAGCACAGTTTGCTGAGGCTTTTGCAGTTCTATCCCTCTTGCTAAGTTCTAGACAGAGATATGGCTCCCCAGTTTTCACTTAAGACTCTCCCATCTAAAGCAACTGGACCAAGATCTGATAACTTTTATCCTTCCCAAGGCCCTTTAAATTCCTCTCTGATCAGCATACATGTCCCTCCCTGGTCACCTTTTGTATTCCTCTTGCTGTTCTTGGTCTCATACTCCTACCATTTAACGGCCACCCACCAGTCAGATGAGGGGAGCCAGGGAGGATGCGCTGTAAGCCAGAGGCGCTAATTCTACATGTACCACAGTGCCCCGTGTTCTGGGCCTTCCTTAAGAGCTTCCCCTGCATTTCCCGACAGGAGGGAGGGATATCCTGGCGTTCGATAGGATAGGGAGAAGGGACAGTGGTGGGTGACCTTCTCCTGCCACAGCCCTGCCGTTAGCTTCTTGCAGTCTGAGCCTCGCTTTTAGCTCTGCATTAGGACGGGTCTAATGCATTGTGTTGGCTGAGAATAGCTCCTCCCCAGATAGAAGCTCTCTGCTTCTTCCATCTCCAAGGCCCAACAATAGACGACTCCTTTATCTCTCCCTCCTCGCTCTTTATCAGAAGCAGCAACTCCTCTCTCAAAGAATAGTCTCAGTTGAACCTCTAAAGTCAGGTAGCACTTCGGAAACACTTTCTCTTCACTCACCTCTCTGCTGAGCCTTTCTTTATGAGACCCCCGAGGCTGGCTCTCCTTGCTCCCACCCGTGTAAATGCAGGTGTTGAAATCAATGATGGGCTGGGGTTCCTGCGCCTGTCTCTATTCGCCTCCCTCAAGCCCCCGCTCACAAGGCCACTCCAGGCATAAGTCATCACCTCCCTTTGTCTCCTCCTCCTGGTGCCCTTGTCTCGTTGGATACTCCCAGCTGTGGTACCCCACATGTTCTTAAGAGTTTTGGAGGCCCAGCTGGGCAGGCGCACAGAAGTCCCATGGTCACCAGGAAAACATCTTTCACATCAGACTTAAAAAAGCCTCAGTTGTCCCTGAAGAAACATAAAGCTAAAATTCCAAAGCACTTGGCAGCAGATGTCCCCCCATGGACACGACATGCTCCTGGAATCCCAGTGAGTTTTCTTTTTCCTCTCCCTACCCTGTCCACCCTGCTCCCTGCTTGGTACAATTCATAAGAACATGAGGCAAACAGGCAGTTAGGGCCACAAGGTTCAGAGGCACAAGGAGTTCATGTCTTTGGGTGGCGTTGGGCCTGTGTCTGAACGTGCTGCCT